ATCTTATAAAATTCTATCATGCAATCTCCAGCAACATTTCTATCACCAAGGCCATATTTTCCAACTACTGGTGATTCTTCTTTGGTTCCAACTTTTGCATTCTAGTCACCAGTGATAATCAGCACATCTCGATTGCTTGTTTGGTCAATTTCAGACTTCAGAAGTTGGTAGAAATCTTCAATTTCCTCATTGTTGGCTTTAGTGGTTGGTACATAGATTTGAATAATGGTAGTGTTAACCGTTCTTCCTCATAGGTATATGGATATTATAGTATCACTGACAGCATTGTACTTCAGGCTGGATCTTGAAACAGTCTTTATGATGATGAATTCCACACCATTCATCTTCAATTTGTCATTCCTAGCACAAATCATATGGTTGTCTGATTCAAAATGGCCCAAACTAGTCCATTTCAGCTCACTAATGCCTAGGATATAGATCTTTATGCATTCCATTTCATTTTTGACAACTTCCAATTTTCCTAGATTTATGCTTCATACATTCCATGTTCCAATTATTAATGGATGTTTGCAATTGTTTCTTGTCATTCTGAGTCATGCCAAATCAGCAAATGGAGGTTGCAAAAGCTTTACTCCATCCATAACATTAAGGTTGGCTCTACTCTGAGGGCTTTTTCCCAGCTGTATTTTGAGTGTCTTCCCATCTGATGGGTTTATCTTCTGGCACATTTTCCAATAATGTATCAGACAGTATTTCTCTGGTATTCATAAGATTTTCACTGGACAATTCTTTGAGAAGTGGATGGCCTCTTCCTTCTTCCAAGTCTGTCTTAGTCTGGAAGCTCTGCTGAAACCTGTCCACCATGGGTAACCCTGCTGGTATTTGCCACACCGGTGGCATAGCTTCCAGCCTCATAGCAACATGCAAGCCACCACAGGATCACAAACTGACAGACAAGTTCTTCTCCCTTAGCTGTTCCTAACTGCTCTGCTCGCTTCCTGGCTGCCTTTAAACTACCCCAAACCATGCAGGGCCCAACTTCTGGGCTGCCCACACTTTAAGCTTCCCTAAACCACAGGGGTGAGATGTGCTAGAAGTGTAAAATAAAATACACACTAGATTTCAAAGACTTAGCAGCCTTTACTCACACACACAAAAAAAAGTTTGTAAAATATCTCAATAATTATTTCTACTGATTATGTGTTAAAATTATGATATTCTCGATAGCTTGGTTTAAAGAAAATATATCATTAAAATTAATTTTACCTGTTTCTTTTCCCTTTTAAAAAATATGGCTGCTAGAATATTTTAAACTACCTATATGACTTGTGGGAGCTCTGGTGGTGTAGTGCCTAAGGCATTTGACTACTAACCAGAAGGCTGGCAGTTCAAATCCACCAGCCACTCCTCAGAAGGAAGATTGGGCAATCTACTTCTGTGGTGATACTGCCTCAGAAACCCAAGGAGGCGTCGCCATGAGTTGGCTCTGACTCCATGGCAGTGAGTTTCATTTGGTTTTATGTGACTTGGAAAAGGAGCTCTGGTGGTATAGTGGTTAAGGCATTTGGCTGTTAATCAGAAGATTGGCAATTCAAACCCACCAGCTACTCCATGGGAGGAAGATGAGGCAATCTACTTCCATAAAAATTTACAGCCTTGGAAACCCAATGGGGGTCTCTATGAATCAGAATTGACTCTATGGCAGTGAGTTTGGTTTTTGGTATATGACTTGCAAGGAGCCCTTGTGGTGCAGTGTTCAAGTGGTTGGCTGCTAACCAAAAGGTTGGTGGTTCAAACTCACCAGCCATTCTGTAGGAGAAAGATGTGGCAATCCGCTTCCATAAAGATTACAGCCTTAGAAACCCTGTGGGTCAGTTCTACTCTGTCCTATATGGTTGCTATGAGTTAGAATTGATTCAATGGCAATGGGTTTGGGTCTTTTTGGTTTTTATGTGGCTTGTATTTATGGCTTGCATTACATTTCTTTTGGCTAATACTGATCTAAATGGAGAGTATAGGCAAGCAGAAGTAGCATTTAGCAATTAAACAGAATTAAGTGATGATGACATGGCAATATGAAGAAAACTTGCCACAAAGTGATTGGATACATTACTTTTTCCATTCCTCCAACACTGGAATGTTTCTGCAAATACAAATGCTTGCTAAATAAATTTCTCAAGGGAAAACGAGAAAGGGGAAGTTTTAGGAAGTGAATTGTGTTGAGTTGGACTCTGGAAGAAACAGTAAAGAACCATCTACTCTGAGCTCTCTGGAGGCCCTGGTTTTCACTAGGAAGAGGCCATTAAGCCTCTAAATCTTTGAATAAGGAGCTCTGGTGATGCAGTGCCTAAGGCATTTGACTATAAACCAGAAGGTTGGAGGTTCAAATTTACCAGTTGTTCCACAGAAGGCAGATGGGACAATCCACTTTCATAAAAATTTACCACCTCAGAAACCCAATGGGAGTTGCAGTGAGTCAGAATCGACTCAATGACAATGAGGTCTTTTTTTTTTTTTTTTTTAATTCTTTGAATTTCCATTTATATTAGCAGGGTTTATACTTTTCTATAAGGAATATCTTCAGAGGACTCTCTTCCTTCAAGGATGATGGCATTTTTAATGGGCAGATAGGGATCATGAAGCTACATTGCAATGGGAATGTGATTTTGGCAGATGTAATGCTCAGGTACCATAAAGGCACGTTAATTAGAAAGTTTTAACACTTAGAGGGGCCTTTGTTTAAATGAGTGTTATGCTCTTTGAGGGGTCCATTGGATCTCATCTGCAGTTTTCTCAACTCCTATTCATGGTCTATTGAAAGATATACTTTGGGCTTAGGCAGAAGAAAATTACATCATAAGAGGCACCCAACAGCAAAAGGGTTTCCCTGCGTATCAACAAAATGAATGAGGTTTTAACAAGTTGAACAGTATAGAGAGCAGGCTGTTACCACAGAAGAAACAAGTAAACGTAAAATATTCTTCACTAACCTGGGGAAAAATATTCTGAGTATCTTGGGAACTAGTGCAATTCTGTGAAACAGGTGAATCAAAACCAAAGCCAAATCCATTACTATCAAGTCAATTCAAATTCATTGTGACTTCATATGTTACAGATTAGAACTGCTCCTAGGATTTTCTTGGGTGTCATCTGAATGGAAGCAGATTGCTAGACCTTTCTTCCACAGTGCTGCTTGGTAGGTTTGAACTGCTGACTTTTAGGTCAATAGCCAGCTACAAACTGCTTGTACCACCCAGGGACCTTGAGGTAGGTGAGGGTATTGTTTAAACCCCACTAGTTCTGCAAGTTTTCACAGAAAGCAAAGGCAGAAGGAGAACAACACTTGATTTGAATGACTTTGTAATAGACAGGGCCAGCTTAGAAGAGCTCAGGCATAAAAATGATTCACTGAACCATGGAAGAACATAGGATTATATGATAAAATGTCTGTGCAGTGCTAAATGTGTAGTAAGTGTTCAGAAAAAAATAGCATTTGAAAAAAAGTGTATTCTATGGTGTAAAGTTTATCCTCATTTTACTGTAGAAAAAAGCTGCAAAGCCTCCAGTAAGTTCACTGTAGTTTCCCAGCTTTTGTCTAAATTCATTTGTGAAAGGCTTTACTCACACTTTAGCTGCTGGTGACTCATGTTTAACTGCTTTCACTCATCTTTTCTCTTTTTTTATTTTTTAATACAGTTGCAAATCACATGACATTCTGCTTTGTTCCTTTCTTTCCCAAAGAAAACTAAGCAACTTGAACAGTCCCATTACCTTAATGAACTAAAGCCATTCAGTGAATAGAGTTGGTATCCACTTCATCAAATGTAGTTTATGATAATTTCCTGGAAAGCTGAAGACTGATTCTTCAGGATTTCTGAAGGCCTATGAAAATTCATATCACCTGGCAACCTAGGTGGGTTGAAGATTGGTGTCGAATGACTGCTAAGAAGATACAAGGAATGTCATAGAAATATAAATAGGCCAACACTGAAATTTAATTAGACACTGCATATATTAATAATAAATTCAATTCAATTAGCTTTCTACCTATGCCAGAGGAAAAAAACAGACAAAATGATAATTCATTTTCAATGCCTCAGCTGGTACCCTCCTTTCCTGAAGAGTGATTTATGCAGTAATTTAATGGCTGTGTCTTCATAAGATTGTTTCAAATCAGCCCTTTTGAAATAATAATAATTTCTGAATGTGTGTTGTGAGAGATATAACAAATGACTTCTTATTAATTTTCATTTAATGAGTTGCCTATTCACATGGTAATTTTTTAAAATTTCTCGTATTAAGATAAACGGGTTATAAATACTGAGGATAACACTTTCATTTCACAAAACTCATGCCAGGAAAATCTATCTTCTATTCTCTACATGATTGAAGGTCCATCAGTTATAGATTTTCTGTATTAAATAGGAACCTATTTTTTCCCAATTGGGACAGCAGATCATTTAAAGTTTCTAGAGCCAAGTGACTTCCAAATTGCTGAAACACTCACACAATATTTATCACCAGCAAAGGTGGCCCTAGCTTGGATAATAGGGGGTTAGTCAGGAAACAAAGTTATGAGCAAGGTGAAAATGCAGGATAGATTATTTAAAGAGTCCACAACAGTAATCCTATTCCAAAAAAAAAGCAAACAAGACCATGAAGACCATCACTTACAGCTTTCCTATTTCCCAAAATTGTCCCAAAGTTTCCTATTTTCGTAAGTTGCCCACTTTTTAATAGAACCCCAGAATTTCTCATATGGCAATTAATACTTAAGAACACATTTAATTGCTAATATTTTCAAAAATTTGAATTACATAACAATGAATTAATATGCTAAAATACCAAGAATGAAATAATTAATAAAATAAAATAAAAACCAGGAAGAAAAATTGCTCAAAGGAGTTCTATTTATCTGGAAAGTTCCACACTTGTTTTAAAAGTCCCACAATGAGGCAAGACTTTTAAAAACAATTCCTTGAAACATTTGAAAGAGTGTGCCCAAAGTATTAAATAATTCAAATTCAATTGTTACTTACAGGAGAACTGAAAAGGCCTCGCTCCTAACCCGCACTGCCTCACGCCCTCTCCGTGGAAAAGCCCGTACTGCATCTCGCCCATGAACTTGTCCAGCTCCTGCCCCGAGGCATTGACAAGCAGAGCCCCCGTTTTGCAAAGGACGGTGGCTTTGATCCATAATGGTGTCCCCAAAGCTGTCACAACTCCGAGGGCACAAGCAAAGCTTAACACCCCGGCCATGCAAAAAATGACTTTCTTCTGTAGACTTGGCATGATGGGAAACGGCGTTTGTGAAGAGCAGGTTCAGAAACAAGACCTTTGTGAACGACAAGGACGGACTGCCCCTTTGACTGCATTTATTATAGAGGCTGAAGGGACAGATTCCAGCTGAAAATGCTACTTCACCATCAACAGTGGTTCTCTTCCGATTAAATATTAGTAGAAAGACAGGAGGAAGGTTTCTTCCCCACACATACTTCTTTTCTGCGTCTTCTAATTTGAAATCCTTGGACTAAGAATCTGTAAAATAAAACTCAGACTGCCTTGGAGTATCTCCTCCTGTGTCACTTGGTAACAAAGGTTTAAGATAACAGATGGAGCTCTCTGTGTAACTTGATAAATGCCTCCCCTTTCCTCAGCCTTTTGTCTGATTGGATGAGTTGAAACTCTCAGAAACAGGCTTGGCTCCAATGGTAAATTTTCAGCAACTTGAGGAGTTCATTTATTGATGTATTTTTACTTTTATTTTTTTGGCTGCTGGGAGAAGGGGATCTTTAGTGGAGGAAGAAGATTATATATGACTACTGACCATTAGTTGATTTTGAACATGTTAATTGTAGCAGGATAAAACGTTGAATTGAATTGGGTTCTGTGTGGGTATGAAATGCCCTAGCCAAACCAGTGGTGATTGTCCTCTGGACTCCATTTCTCCCTTCTCCCAAGTCCATGGTTTAGAACCAGTGTATCAAAACAGAATTTGATTCAAATTCTTCCCAGCACACACATATATGGAGACACAGGCAAATCTAGACTTCTAAATGTTTTTCTTTAAAACATTTGGCTACTTCAGGATAATACCAAGGGGATATGGTTCTGGATTTGAGGAGTATCACAATCTGTTCAGAAGAAAGACATTGTCACGGAAAGATTTATTGTGGTCAGAAAGATAGCACCAAGAATTGACCACAGAAAAGCAAAAGTCCTTGCAGAAGTAATTCATTAGGGAGACAAGAGGCAAAGTGATGAGCAGGATAAAAGCAAGGTGAGTTTGGTTACATGGTCAAGGCATGAAAACTAGAGTTTAGAATTCAGTGACAGATTTTTTAAAAAGTAGTTATTGACATGTTTTTTGTGTGTATGTGAGAGTGTGTGTGTGTCTGTATCCTCAAGTTGATTTCAATTCATCATGACCCTATATATAGGACAGAGTAGAACTCCTGTGTTCTTTATGGGAGCAGATCACCTGGTGTTTTCTTTCATGGAGTGGCTAGTGGGTTTGAATTCATGACATGTCCATTAGCAGCAGAATGCTTAACTGTTGCTCCACCAAGGCTCCTTGGTTATTGACATATAGTTTCTACCTTACATCAGGGTTCCATCCTGACAACTCTATCCTAAGTAGGTTCTGGTGTAAGTCAAATACCTCATTTTCTTTCCTTTTTTACTTTTCATTACTATTCGACGGCACATAAAATCAACAACATTATCTTTAACTGTCAGTATCTTTATAAATCCAATCTTTATTTGTCTTTGGGGGTTGGAAGCATTACATATAAACTTACAGATATATTTTGATACATATATACATACATACAGAAAAAATGCACAAATCATAAAAATTTACTTACTAATGAAGAAGAGTTGTATGACACTGGCATTTTGTGAGTTGTAGTGACAACTCCACTTGTGGAAGGTTCTGGATCATCTGGATTATCTCTGGGAATAGGGATGGAATTTTTCCTTAGAAAATTAGAGTTGTCTGTATGGTCCTTTTTTTCTTCATGTATTTCATGGTAACGTCTCACTGCTTCCCAAATCTGCCTACTGACTTTAACAAAGCAATCAGTACTTGAATCCATGTTTTCAAACAACTGAGGCCCTTGACTTAGTTTAGAAAAAAGTCAAGGTAATACTTTCATTGTAAACATTTTTGACAAGTTTTTTCCTTCCTCTTCCTCATTCTTTCTTTCTTTTTCATCATCTCTTTCCTCTTCAAAATCCATTAAGTCATGATCTGTCAATTTCCCTCTTTGTGATCTATAAGCTATTCCACTTTGGTGATACCAAGTTCTAAATTCAGTGTTCTTACAATATGGATGATTTTTCCACTGGTCTCTTCCACCATATTATCCTGATCAAATGCTTAGAGCATGTTCACATAACTCGACAATTTTTTTTATGTCCCCCGCATGCATTTTCCCGTAACTTCCACCCAGGAAGATGCAATTTTCCAGACACATTGATGGCCTTACATGCGATTCCTTGTAGCTCAAATACATGTAAGGTGGGGACTACCTGTAGCTGGATTAATATCTACCATATTTGTAGCTGATTTTAAGGGCAGTTTTTTAATTCTGCATTTCGGATGAGAATCCTCCTTCTGCAGACAGATACAGGACTGATTTTTTTTAGGTTTTATTTCGTGTTTTGTTTTTGTCAGTAAGTGTTTATCAAGTGTCTGTTCTCTGCCACATTATTGTGCTAGTCTCTAATTACAAAGTTAGCTTTAGTAAAAACTTAGTGTCTGTCACCTTGGTAAGCATGCTATCTAAATTATCTTACTGAATTCTCACAAGTATCATTTAAAATGATGACAATGATATCCCCACTTTACAGGTAAGGAAGCTGAGGCTCAGATCAAGCAACTTGCTCAAGAGAATAGTAGAGCTAGGATTCAAAATCAAGTCTTCTAATGCTGAAGTTTATGTGTTATTCTAAGTAAAATTTTTGGCTTTGATGAAAGTATTTCAATTTGGGTTGGGGTCGAGTGGGACTAACAAGACTCAAGTGGCCTATTTTTAGCTATGTATCTTGGGTACTTGAAGAACACAGACATCTGCAACCAGAACTTTCCCAGTGGGTCAAGAATACATTCTTCATGCTAGTTTATGTTCTCTTAATCTACTTTTAAGCATGGCAGCTTAGGGAAATTAATAAATATTTATTTCACATCACTGTAAGCATAAATGAGTCTCTAGCTTATGTACATTTGAAGGGAACTTTAGGGTATAGTCTTGCAGTATTGGTAAACTCAACACAGCTATGCTCTTTTAGCAGTTGAAAGCCTTTCTTATTAAGGATAGATAACTAAGGATAGAACTGTTTCAAGAATGCCAATGTACCTTTAGAGGAAGAGATTGATAGCTGTAATTGAGTCAGTTTTGACTCTTGGTGACCTTACGTATAACAGAACAAAACATTGTCTAGTTTGTGTCATCTCCATGATCACTGCTGTGTTTGAGTCCATCATTGTAACTCATCCATCTCACTTAAGGTCTCCCATGCCCTTGTTGGCCCTCTTCCAGCAATGATCCCTTCTGATGATGTATCCAAAGCAAGTGAGTCAGACAATATTCTATCACAATTGATAAGGTTTTCATTGGCTAATTTTCAGAAGTAGACCACCAGCCTTTCCTCATAGTCTGTCTTAGTTGGGAATATCTGCTAAAGCCGATTCACTATCAATGACTCTCTTGGTTGTCTAGTGCCGCTATAATAGAAATACCACAAATGGATGGCTTTAACAAACAGGAACTTATTCTCTTACAGATTAAGAGGCTGGGAGTGTGATTTCAGTGCTGGCTGTAGGGGCTGGATAAAGGCCCCTCAAACTTGGGCTTCAGCTTTTTCTCTTGTTCCAGGCCCACTGGAGCTGGAGGCTTCTTCTAACTCATGCGGCTACTGGCTCCTGGGGCTGACAAACCCAAGATTGGCAGGTAAAATGGCACAATCACAAGATTAATAGGCAACACAGCAGGATGCTGCTTCAAGTCAAGGAATAATCCCAAAATCTATAGACAACATGGCAGGCCACTTGTTGAAGTCCAGGAACTGGAGATGAAAACTCAGCCAAATGCAGGATCCAAACATGCCAAAAAGCTAGAGACCTTTCTCAAAGCCTCCCCCTATATACTGGAAGCAGGCCACACCCCGAAGGTAACTGCTTAGCTGCTCATAGTAAATTCTACCATGGAGGTGATTACACTTTCATCATAGGGAATAACTACATACAGCTTCCAAGCTACTAAAAATCATGACCCAGTCAAGTTGACATACAAACTTAACTACTACCATGACCCTGCTGGTATTTGAAATACTGGTGGACTGGCTCCCACCAACACAGCAGCATGAAAGCCACCACAGTAGGACAAACTGAAAGAGGATTGGTAGTAGGGAAGCAGGAGGGTAACAACATAAACCATGGCCACAGAAGAACAAGACATACACAAGATTTTAAAAGGGTCCACAAAATTAGGTTTACAATATAACTAAGTCTTTTTATTTTAGGTAATTTGACAGAGAATAAACCACCCCACCACAGGTTATTTGGCCTCCCAAGGAATTCTCCACCTAATTTAGAATAATTGCCATCATCCACCAACAAAACAAGGGGCACCAATGTCCCCAATAAGCAGGTATCTGGGTGTACATGTGTAACACCTACTCCAGAAACCATCATGTAAGATGTCCAAGAAGAGTTACATTAATCTAAATATTCAATAATTGGAGGAGACATAACATTTCCAAAGCTGTGAGCAGAAATTAACTACTACTTAATCAATACTATCTCCACTGAAAGGACATGGCAAGGGAGAGGTAGTTAATATGAGGTGGTGGAACTGGCTTAATTGAGCAAAACCCAGCTGAGTGTATCTAAAGCCGTCCAAGGAGAAAAGCCTCAACTATGAATGTTGACTACAATTTGATTACACCAATTCTTAAATTTGTGTCTGTCTATAGTGAATTTTCACTGGTCTGCAGAGACATGAGAAAAATAAATACATAGTGAGAGTTTATTACTATTACTATTCTCAAATTATGTCCTTCCTAATTTTTGTTGTTACAATTTCCTTCCTTTAATAAAATGATGGTAATTGATTTTCAATAGCTTTACTAGGCAAATGAAAATATTCGTAAAACTATGTTCCCATTGAAAAAAATCATAATCACTAGATGTAGAGGAATGTGAAATGCTGTGTGGAAAAAATCCGTTGCTGTCATGTTGACTCTGACTCATGGCAACCCCATATGTGTCAAAATAGAATAGTGCTCCATAGGGTTTATAGTGGCTGACTTTTTCAGAAGAAGATTGCAAA